AAAATCTGTTCATATTAATTCCCTAATAAGCATAATAATTCATAATTTTTTGGTTCTAATCACATTTCAATTAAACTTGGAGACATAGATTTTCTGTTACATTGCGCAGACCTCATTAGTTTTACACTCAAATCTGGTCATATTAATTTTCTGATTTGCATAATTAGTTTTCAGCTAAGTAATTTCGAATTATATTTAATGTGTCTCCAATACTCTCAGCACATGGGAGTTCTTTCTAAGCTTTCTTTGATTTTTCTTTAAATGTACATTGAATTTGCCGCCTATAGATTTAATTCTATACATGTGAGTAAAGTTACCTGATGAATTTAATCTCACACAAATATTAATTGAAAACGTACATCAATGTTTCTTGTAAATAAATTTGACATTAAGGAACTGATTCTGTCTCCATAAATTTGAATAAAAAATGCATGAATTTAAATGTTTCCTAGGTTGTGAAATTATTTTGCAAAAGGTATGATAAGATGAGATATATGGATATTTGGATATATCCAAAGCACTTAAAAAATATGAGTTTATGTTATAGATTTTCAAATTCTGAAAAGCTATGTCTCGCACATGGTAATTAATATTCCGAAAGTGACGGCTTCCTGCATGTTATAATAATTATAACGACAGATTTGTCAACTGTTTGCAGATGTAAAAGAGTCACACTTTGCTCTGTTATAAGAATTGATTGAGCTCCTGAAAATACAGCTGCAGGTTACACCATACATCTTGAAAATGATTTCCAGATACATGACAGACGAAATGTGAAAGAACATCAAAAGACATATTAAACTGTTGTGGCATTGAAATCAACACTGATTACTTTACTCGGTTGCTGACAGAAACTTTTATGTATAACGATTTCTAGACAAGGAAAGCAATAACTTCTCATTAAACGCTTGTGTACAGTTTGGAGTGAGAATCTGTCACATTTGTTCTGTTGAATGTACATGCTGCTTGATTGGTTGTATTTTCTGCTTCAATACTTGATTCATTCAGTCATTCAAGATACCACAAGCATACACAGGCATGATAAATAAATCATAATGCTGTCTCTGAGGAGTCATAAAGAAGCCGCACAAATTGACTTCTATGTATATTAACCAAGAACTTTTGCTACGCATTACCGCTGGTAGTTATTCTGAGTCTAGAATGATTTTGTTTAATCGCTGTGCTGCCCACGGTGCATTTGAATTTGTATGAACTTTCGTTGTACTGTGAACACCAACCAATCACAAGCCTGAAGATGCACAACTGAATAAATTAGTTGATTATATTTGGAATATGGCACAAAAAGATTTGTGTTAAAATTGTATCAGCAACCTCAGTTTGGTCTAAACTATACAGAAAATTGTGTTCCAGCATATCAACGAAAGTTGATCTGTTTCATGATTCAATCAAAGAGCCAACACATATTATGCATTCACAGATGTTAAGTTGTCTTGCAATCCAAGACAACTTGTACATGCACATATGTAAAGAGGAACGTATGAATGGTGACAGTTCATTCGTCAGTGAGGGCGCTGTGACAATTTCAATGGCTTGTTATTATTATTTTCATTAAAAAAAATTGATGAATTTAGTCTAACATAATCATTTTGAATTGTCTATTATTTAATAACGTTTCGACTAAAAATTAGTTTTGCTAAGTTACACGTCATGTGAACCTGGTTATGTTACTGTAACAATACACTCCCTACCCCTTTGCAATTTATAGTAATTTGCAGCTACCGGGGGTATTGGCTGAAATACAATGATTTGGCTAAAGTATCTAACTTATATATCATTTCTATAGCAGTCCACAATTTGGCTTAATTGCTTTACAATTTTGCTAAAATTAGTGTGCCCTACGGGTCCTAATTATGCCTGCCTGCCTGCCTGCCTGATGAATTCACTGCATGCTAGAACTAGATCAGCTGAGAATGTGATGGGATGTACATGTGTATTTCTGGTACATGTTGGGTATATGATCTCATTAATATGGTTTCAATGAATCACAGTAAATACATCCAATTACTTCAAGTGAATTGCCAATTGGTTTTGGAAGTCTTAAAGTTTTTAATCTACCATAAGAATCTATTTGTAGTAACATAGCATACGGTTGTTGTAGTGTCGATGATTGCCCCTATGTTTTACAAAGCAGAGAATTTTGTTATTATTCTGCTGTTCTTGTTGATTGCTGTGGTGATATTGAACTTGCTGTTCATTGCCAGATGTGTTGATATATTATTGGCGAATCAGTAATTGGTCATACCGGGTACTAGCAATCATCTGTACTGTTTTATCGATCCCTGTGAGCTGCTTCACTGTTGTTTCATCTATCGCTTTTAAGTGACCCCGAAACCTTTAAGGTACATGGTTAGCGAATTGCAACGTTCAAATCCAAATGGTAAATTCCACAATGATACATCGAATAAGATTGGATTTTTATAGAAATATATTTAAAAGGTGATTTATTTTCTCAGACTTCTTTTTAGTACCGTAAAATCTGTATTAGAAGCCTCATCTCTAAATAATAGAAAACACACCCATTCTTTTTGAATAATTGAGAAACCAAACATTCACAATTTCTCATATGTGTAGATGCTCTAATAGAAGCTGCATCTCCTCTGTTGCATTGTACCATTTTAATAGAAGCCGCACCCATTCTTTTTGAATAATTGAGAACCAAACATTCACATTTTCTCATATGTTGCATTGTACCATTTTAATAGAAGCAGCGGTTTCTAATACAGATTTTACAGTAACTTATATTGAAAATTTCATTTCATTTCAATTGATTTTCTATTTTTTAATGAATGATATGTGTTGATCCTGTTAGTGGCAGCTAATCACTGAATGTATAATAATCACTAGTTCACTCGGATTGAACTGAACTTTATGTATGCACTTCCAATATAATATTTTCAAAACCTACACCAGTTGTATAAGTAACCACTGATAGCCATTTGGACATTAACACTAACATTATTCTACTCATAACTTGATTGTGTCAAATAGATAGCAAGATGTCTCACACTGATGCATGATTTGTCTTATGATCGTTCCTGACCTTCCTAAAACACTAAATGTTTGACGCATGTTTGTCTGAGTTAATTGTATGCTGATCATGCAGTAATCGATTTTCTTCAATCTTTCTTTATTTGCTTCGGGCATATCAGATAATTTTCTTGATTAATTTTATCAAAAGTGCTCTCCTCAGAAATAATTTGCATATCAATTAAAATGGTAATTGCCTCCATTGTTTGTCGTTGTTATGTTGATGATTTTTTTTGTTTCTGCAAAATTGTTAGCAGTTGAAATTGAAATTGAACAGTTAAAATGCTCTCAGGAGAAACTTATTTTAATACTTAAAAATACCATAAAAAGTATATGTTTTTTGTTGTACATATAAAGTAAGTAAGAAGAGAGAGGCTTGTTTTCTTGAAACGAATAACAAGTATATGGTGACATTTAGAGAGCCTAATCTAGTTTCTCATCCTGTTGAATTATTACGCTTTTGTTATTTGGATAATATGGAGTGATGTTACTGTCACATGTACAGATCTTTCAGAAAACTCATTGAATCCAGTCATAATTACTGCTGTGCCTGTTTATGTTGTTGCCATGGTTACAGGAAGATGGTGCTCTGAACTAGAATTGAAGTGTAAACTAGCGACTACTTTGTTGTCATAGGAGACTGCACGTTACAAGATGTAAAATATGGCAATTAGAGTTCTTGCTGTAAATGTACCTGTATGCTAGTGTTGTTAAATTTACATCTTTGTGAGATTGACCCAAATAATGATGTTACACATGAAGGGGATAATTAGAAGATGCCAGCAAGTGGTAAATTTGTAGAAGACAGACTTTCTAGTAGGGTTTTTAACGAGTGTTCTAGCATTCAACAAAATTGCTTTTAAGCTGAGAGTTAGTGCCTGCTACTTACGATTCTGATGAGCAGTCACTCAATGGTATGAAATAAAAGCAAGTCCTCGGCATCTGAAGTTGAAATGATTAAAGTGTGACCTTGTATCATCCAAAATCAATTGAAACAAGCTGGTTTATAATCCAAAGGAGAAAGGACAACTTTATATTCTGTCATTGTCAGAGCAAAATGACAACTAAAATTACTGCTTGCAGGTGATGACAAATTTGGCACGCAATGTGTAGAAAACGTGACCCATTAAACCACCATGTTATTCTTCTGTATACAAAGGATTAGAAAGCGTCTTAGCTGAGGAAACTAGTATATGTGAATCAATATGTAGTCCTCTACTTTTCTTCAGGAGATGAAACAAATCCAAAGATTTGTGAATGTAAATTCCTTATGAGATACAAGCTTGTTTACTCATTCCAGTAAAACTACAACTGACTTGATAGTTGCCAATTTAATCAAGTGACCGCTCATCATTCCATTTTTGATTTTGCAATGAACGGAAAATCAGATTAAAATACAAGGGTTTTTCCCACCTACATTCAAACTTGAAATATATTTAATACAGTTGTACATCATTGAACATGCATGGACCTCTTTGTTTTCGCAATCTCATCTTCATACACAATAATCACTGACCAGGCTTTTTTCCCCTGGCATAAAAGAAATCATTGTGAAAAGAGGTATAAGCTTTATTTTAATATTAAATTGTTATTTTTATTTCAGGATCCAAGGTTCAACAGAGAGATTGACTTGAAAACCGGTTACAAAACGCACAGTATATTATGTATGCCAATATGTAGTCATGAAGGCGAGGTTATTGGTGTTGCTCAAATCATCAACAAAATCAGTGGAGATCATGAGTTTACTGCCAAAGATCAAGAGGTAAGAATGGTTATTTCTAGGAGAATGATTTGAAATGCAGATCTAGCTGAATGAGCTTAAGCACCAACCTGTGTAATCATGCACCTGATGTCAATGTTGTAGTGAGTGAGTGAGTAAGCTTTCATGTAGTTGACCTGCCATACATCACATCTTGTTTGCTCCATGAGGTTTTAATGTCACTGCGATAAATTAATGATTGTGGTGATTGTGACTTCAGATATGTCTTTTGGCTATTAATTACTTGTGATTTATGTATGTTCCATGTATCACAAGAAGAAAAAAAGACAGCGGAAATATATACTATGAAAAATGTTGTTGGTTGTTTAATTTCTATATTACAAATCACTGCCGAATAATAAAATCTCCTAGTCAGTAGAGAATAATGTGCAGTTTTTGCCCTTTATTGGGCACAGTCTTGTGGATTTGGTTCTTTTTTTCTGTTTGTTGCATTTTCTCAAGTTTTGTGGACTGATTTTTTTATTAGCACAATATTCTATGATATTATTCTTGGAAATATTGCGTAATCATTCTATATTTATATATTCCTATTTCCTAATAACGTTGGATGAAGATATTCTGTGAAATAACACAAAATTACAGCACACTATAACTTACGACGATACAGTGACACATATTGTATTACAATATTTAGTCCCCGTTCGGACGGAGTTCGAAAACGGGGACTTATGTTTTGCCCTGTGTGTGTCCGTCCGTCCGTCCGTCTGTTCGTGATCACCTGTATCTCGAACATGCATGGACCGATTATGTTCAAACTTCACTCATACATCACACATTATATGGGACATATGCACATGCATTTTTTTCATGATCCGATTAACGATAGCCGAATAGCGGCCATTTTAAGGCCGAAAATGCATCAAAATCGCACATTTTCACCATTCCGGACCCGGATCTCAGTTATGCATGGACGGATTTCGTTCAAATTTGGTACATACATTAAACATAATAGGACCTTGATGCACGTCATTTTTTTTTTCGGATCAAGTTCGAAATGGCCGACTGGCGGCCATTTTGTTTTAAAGAATTCAGTTCTGGATTCGTATCCGAGACATGTCTGGATTGATCAAGTTCAAACTTCACACACACAAGGTACATCATGTCACAAATATGTATGTGCATTTGTTTCATGATCCTATTAACGATAGCCAAATGGCGGCCGCTTTAAGCCGAAAATGCATTGAAATCGCACATTTTCACCATTCTGGACCCAGATCTCAGTTATGCATGGACGGATTTCATTCAA